TTTGTGTAATATTTTATTTTATTTTATCTATTTTAATATTTTGTCACCCTTATGTAACTTTTTTATTTTAAGACTAAGTATTCTTTCTGGCTTTTGACTCCTTACCTGACTCTAAAGAAGAGCTGCACAACAATTCCTATATGCCTAGGCTGTCTGTGCATAAATGGCAAATAAAAATCTTGAATCTCAGCCAATGGCAAAATTAGGACAGCTTCATTTGGCCAACCACAATGATTAAAAAATAAAATAAATAAGATCATTTAAAATGCATTAAAACACATGTCCCTGGGGCTCTGTAATAAAATTGAGTCGCATACCGTAATAGTGTTGTTGTATCACACTTGGTATCTGAACGTCTTTGAACAATAAGGTCCCTTTGGTGCATATTTGAGTTAATAATGCACATTTCTTTGAGAAAGAAACTCCCTGAATCTGGAGAGCCTCTTCTTGCAGAATTTCTACATAATTAAACTATTGGAATAACATATAGTAGGTTTGCATTGCTGTCTGCCATAGTAATTTTGACAGTACCACTAGGAGTCACCACCACCACTGTTTAATGCCTCTCTGTCTATTGGCTCTTGGCCTTGCTCTGACAGAGAAACGTTACATTGGGAGATATCATTGAGCAGCACACCCAGTCCTGATAAGAAACTTAACCAGACACAGTAAAAACACCCCTGTGGCCCCTGTGGGTATATAGGGGTGTATAGAGGTGTTACCAAAAGGGGGGGGGGTATGATACAGTATTAGTGTTGTGGTGGTGATATCACACCAATGCAGATTTATTCTTCTGCACTAGTGAAATCCAGTGCAGATCTGCTAGTTAAATGTAGTATTGTACTGGACTACATTATATTCAGAGGTGTTCCTAATATTCTGACCATCTCATGTATGTAGCTGGAGAGGACAAAAATATAGAGAGACCTCTGAATATAATGTAGTCTAGTACAAGACCACCTTTACTTATGACCTCAATAATAAACATGTAATTGAATTTATACATTTATGACAATTTCACCAAAAACTGAAACATTTTTAGCTTCAGAAACACAGATGTTAAGGTGGGGGTGTTGCACTGAAGTACAGGTGTACCTAATAAAGTGGCTGGTGAGTGTACATTCATGTTGACCTGACCGCCTGTTAATGAACTTACAGTATGCTTCCCTGCTGAGGTGTCCCACCTGTGCCTCTGGCACTGGAAGTACTGCATTTTATAAGAATTTAATTTGCCTGAGTAATTGACGCAACACTATATGGATGTGCCATACGTTATCAGCCATGTTGTGTATTCATCATATATATAAAACATAATGTGTGGTCACACTTTTTGGAGAACACAAACTGACAGTGCTTCTTTTCTATTTTCAGCAACGATCAGCACTTCACTTTGGTCCTGACTGAAATATTTAAATCAATATTGAATGGATTGCTATGAAGTTTTGTACAGACATTCATGATGTCCAGATGATATATACTAATGGTTTTAGTAATCTCCAGATTTTTCCTTTACCACCACCATGATGATGGTGACATTCCCATTAACATAAGCTAATTAGCAAACCACAGCTGTGCCTAAATAGGTAAAGCCTCACAGAGCTGCTAGTACAACTATGGATTCTCTATTCAGATTACTAAATCACTCAAGTGTTAATTCCACCAAGGGCAGGGGTTATGATTTTGCTGGTGTTTGTTGGTTTGTCTGTTTGATCACAGTATAACTCAAAAAGTAATAAAGGGGTTTTTATGAAATTTTTTGGTAGAGTATTACTCACCGGACAATTGATTAGAATTTGGTGCTGATCCATGCCATAATTTGGATACAGGAAGATTATTCACCATTATGAATGCTGGAAAGGCTGCCAACTGTATGTGAGCCCCCTTGTGGCCAAAGTGCACTGCTGAGCATTCTGGACACATACAGAGACAAATTGCTGGGCCTGTGACAGCTGCCTATTCATTGCCAATGGAAACTGAGTGCTGTCACTCAGTACACCCTGCTGTGTGAAACAGGAACTGAAGAAGCCCAGCGAGGCGACAGCTACTCTATGCAACGACAGCTGGGTGAGAGCCTGATGGCAGAGATTTTGAGCCAAGCTCAAAGCTGTCATTTTCATCTGTAGGAGTGGTTTCAGGCGAAGCCAATTGGATTGAAACTAAGTGCTCAGTCTATCCAGGTAATGCCAATTTATAATTTTGTTCTTACATTTATGATGTTGTGAGTGCTCGTTATCTGACCAAGCTAGCTCTATTAACAGGCAGATGCAGCTCGTTCAGAACTCAGTAGTCTGTCAGCAAGGACGCCAGTGTTCCAGCTGCACATTATAGCTGTGCTTCCACTGTCGGAACCTAGCGAGCAATACACCCTGTGGTTCCCTTAACTGTCAGTCACCATAACATCACAGGGTTGACAGGACCCATCCTCCTTTGTGATTCCACTGTATTTTGTGCTGTGTTACTTTATGTTTAAGGGAGGGGCTGTGATCCTCTCACCCACACACTCACAGCTGAGCAGAGGACCTGAAGTATCACCCCATACTGCAACAATCAGCCAGTAACAGACTTTATGAGCAGTTTATCAAACAGCTCTTGAACAAGCAGAACACAGACTTGGAGAAATGTGATGTCTTCACCATTTTGCCTGCAGTCCACTCACTGAAGTCTCCGTTTTACCCCTAGACAAACAAGTGGATGGCTGTCATGCCTGTCATTTGTCTTGAATAACTTTCAAATATAATATTGATATCAGCAGTAGGTTTTCATGGTCAAGCAATATTACGAGGGTCAAACTAGCATGGGAATATTGCTTTTATGGCATTATGGGAAAACTGAGTTGACCCCTTGGTAAAGGTCAGCACTTTCTGAGTACTGCCTATTTTTTTTTCTTTTCAAAATTCTTTATTTATAGCAAAAGGGTACAAACATTTAACATTACGACAATGCATCAACAAACAGGATTCATACAAATGTAAAAACTCTGTTCAGGCCAGGGTAACCTAGAGTCTCATCAGTTAAAGTTTACTTTTTTCATATAAGGTCTTCTTTGCTTTTTTGTTCTTCACATTTTTAATTAAGGTGCCATAATACTTAAGTTCAACAATAAAATGATGAGAGCAGAGTTTGGAGTCAGTCCATTTTGATTTGTGGATGTGAAATTTCCTAAAATGATGAGTAAATTGAATTATGTAATTAATATTTACACTCATTCCATCATCCACAAGATGCAACATAACATCAAATATACCTATCTGTACTGTTTATGTTCTGTGTAATAAAAGTTTGCAGATCGAGCCAAAACAAATTCAAATAAACATAGTGAGAAAACAGATGAAATATTGATTCTTTATGCAATTTACAGAACTCACAAGGATAATCAATGTTCAGACGGAATCTTTCCAGCACTTCTTTTGCAGGTTAAATATGATGCAGAATCTTAAAATGTACATCATTGATCTTATTACTGATGCAATATTTAGGCTGGATACAGCAAGCGTTTTCTAACCCCGTATCACTCATAATGGATGGCCAAAAGGATTTTGCTGCAGAAGGTGTATAATAGTTCATAGTGTTTCTAATGTGTCTATTACTGCACAGTTTATTCCAAATATCAATATCATCAATTAAAATATGGGTAGATGACTCTAAATTACCCTTAGGAGTGAATGTGAGTGTGTGCGGTTGTTTGTCTACATGCCAGCCCTGTGATAGAGGGTGTACCCCACCTCTCATCTAATATCAGCTGGGATTGGCTCCAGCCCCCTCGTGACCATATTGAGGAATAAGCAGTATAGATAATGGGCGGATGGATGGAAAATGGGGATAGATCTCATATCATAGTTTCCATGCAAGTACATGTTGTTTAAAACTGGAGAAAACCAGAGGGAATTGCATCAAAAACAATAGCACATTCTTTTGGCGTGACTGGAACAGCAAACGTTTAAATTAATTCTAACATGAAGTATCTGTGTGGACTGAAATTGTGTTTATATGCTAAAGACTAGGTTAAAAGTGCTTCCCAGTGAAAGTTAACTAATTTAACTGGGATTTGTATCCACAGAGTAATTGCATTTTAACAAAAATTCAGTGTCACCAATAAGACTGAATAAATATCTAGGGAAAACATACCAGATTCTGTTGGATTTTTTTTAATGAATTCTATGATCCATTTAACCTTAAACATATTGTTCAGGATACTAAAATCCATGTTTTCTACATCCTCTAATGACTTGTTTTTTAAGATAATGCCATTTTTTCCATATAAAATCATTAGATTTTATCAAGCTCTTTTATTACATTATTTGGGACATCAAGAGATAAAAAGATATATACTCGTAACCGGCGAGGGATTACCGCATGCTTTCCCAGCAAATTGCTCACCTGGCGGTATAGTCTTGGCCAACACGCCGGTTACACACTGATCTAGTGATTCCCTTTGTTTTTGATAGAAGGATCCTGCCATAGAAATATCTTGTATGAACCAGGAGTTCAGTTTTTTCTTGTTTTGTCAACAATAGGCTGTTGTTTCTTTATTCCTCATAGTCCGTTAGTGTTGTATGCCATAATGTCTGTGTTTCCAAGTTCATCTTTCTTCAAAAAGTCATCAGAATGAGCACTGCAGGCCTACAACGCCATAAGGAACCAGAGAAGTCAAGTGCACTGCAATTTGACATCTGGTTGGAATAGGCCTCTAATGATCCCCTAGTTCAAACCAGTGTGCAGCACACAGGAAAACAGACTCACCTAAATCCTGTTTGTCCACATATAAACTTTCATTCTTACTAAAGACAACCTGTCGTTTTTGGAACAGTTTTGTAATCGCTGCACAGTTCTGGAGTTTGTGCACATCTATGAAGCACAAAATGCAATGGTAATAATAATTAAAGAATTTAGGCTACTTGTAGGATATTAAATTACTTACAGCTATTAATTTATTTGGGACAGTAACTGCAAGTTTACTTTTGTTATAAGGTCTTTATTTTATCTAGCCTTAAGCGTTGGCTCAGTCAGTCCTGGCACACCTTGACATCAATCCACCTGAGACACGGTGGCGGCTTCAGCTGTGGGTCGTGCGCATGCGCACGGCGTCCTCGTTCATCAGGAGGATTCTATAAGGGCAACCCAGAGTTAGACTACAGTAGCTGGACCGGACCGGACCGAGGCGGGCAGGAAGCACATTTGTAAGGCGGAGGAGATGGGGGACAAGGACAAAAGGAAGGATAAAAACTCCAAGAGCGATATTGTCACTCTGAAAAAGGAAATTGGACTTTTGAGCGCTTGCGCTATTATCATCGGTGAGTGTGTGACAGCTTTTGTTTAAAATGTTTTCATGAAGAGCGGGTCGCTACAGCGAGTTCACCTACAAGGAGAAGTTAAGAGGGAAGCGTGTTTGAGCGGCAGACGATGCGGGCATACTAACGTGGCGAATGTGTGGTTGTTGCTCTGCTTTAATAGTACAATATGGCACAGTAAGAGTCGGCTACAGCAGGAGCACCTTTTTTGTTTTGCTCTCTTCCTTTAAGGATGTGAATTTAAACTTATTCAGAAACGTTTGAACAGTTTGGATTGGGTACAAACCCGCCAACATACGCACTTAGTCCCCTTTTACGCACGGAGTGTCCACCATTGATGTCTGGGTCATGCTCGGACCGCAGGGCTTTAGGTTTTGTGTGGAAACTGTTGCATCAGTCGGGATAATCTGAATATGGCCATGCCTACGTGGCTGCATCATCATGCTGAACTTGGGACACGGAGACAAAGCACAGCCTCCATGTGGTTCTGAGGGACAGCTGAACATTACCGTTCTAACGCTGTCTGGGTTAAAGGTTCATTTCTAGTAGTCCACCGAGTGAAGCAAGGCATTAATATTGCAAACATCCCATTTAAAATGCACTCGTGGTACAAGACAGACGATGTATGTTCGATAAATGCAGCCATATCAGTTGCAGTCTGTTTTAATACAGGAAGTTGCAAACTCTTTCCTGTAAATTATGGTATAGCCCGCGCAACAGTGTTGCAGTGTAACAGCTGTGAACACAAGCTCACCTAGACTAGTAAACTCAGCAGGTTGTGTGTTACTGTAGTCTGACGGTCAGCAAAGGGTGCCCCGGCGCGCTGCGTGCCGGCTGCGGCCCGTGACTGGTTACATATTACCAAACCCGAAGGCACGTGGCGAGGACGCGGTTTCTGACCTGATGTGATGAAGTAGTTGTGAGACATTCTGTTCTTGGACTCTGATTAAATTTATTACAGATTAACTCGCCTCATCTTTATGGCACACTAGAGCTTCTTTAGCGTAATGGCAGTCTGCTGTTTTTAGTAGATCCAGTATTAGTATTGTCCCCTTTTCATTTCAGTTATGGTACATGAACATACTGGCTGGTTACTGGAAATATACAACACATTAATTTTGATAGGCTCAATAGATCCCCTGGTATCAAACAGGTAGCTCCTAATTTTGAAATTATAAATTAAGGTCATCCTTGAAGTTTCTTTTGTGTTTTTTGCACCATGTACAGTCATACAGCAGGGGAGGTGGAGTCATAAGATGTTATAGCTTGACATCTAAACTAGATGTCAGGATTACAAATTTGCCAGTGAAAACCTACAGCACTCCAGCACTTCATGCTGCAAGTTGGCAGTGTGTCTTTGCACAGATGGTCACCTAATGATAAGGTTTTAAACTGCATGTAGGCAGACCCCTCCAATCAGTGGGACGGCACATCAAAACAGGCTGATTGGAAGCTGAAGCCAGATGTATAGACTGTAGAACTTATGGTTTTCACAGTGTTATGTTGATTATCCCCTGTACCTTCAGCTCACAGATCCTCGTGTTCTATATACTGCATTTATTGGGAGGCATAAAAACAAATGGACAGTTATTTTACTGAGAAAACAGGTGCATATCTACAAGAATAACAAACGGAACAAGAGAGGTAGCCTAGTTTTTTGTCATTGGGGCAAATTACAGGTCTTTTAATGGGCTTCAGTGGTAGGTGGAATATGAATCTCTAATTCCTGTGAATATCAAGGAAAGGAAAAGCAATGGTGTAGTTGTTTCAACAGAAATGTATCATTTTAATAGCTTATCTTTATGACCATGGTCAAGTCTGTTGTGCTCTGACACTGACCCAGTCGGTCATACTTTGGCTTGCCTGTTTTTTTTTTTTGTACATTTGGCAAGCGGTAGCGGTACAAATCCTTTGGTAAACTCTCCCAAGTACATTAACAGTTATGATTAGCCTACAGCATATCAGGGAGCTTCAAGGGTTATGTAAATGAATGCTCAAATCATGCAGTGGTACTGATAACTAGCCATATCTTTTCTGTGAAGTTCAGATGGAGAGAAGTGTGTTCAGCCGGTTCACACGAACGGCTTGAGTCATGCTGCTACCCACCAGAAACAGCCTACTCTTATCCAACACCACACTCCAGTAAGGTGGACTCGTGAAGCTGCCCTTATGTGTGTGGTTGTTGCTTCACTCTGTGCATCTATTTCTATTACCAGTGCTTGATTTTAGAAAAAGACTGTAAACCAGATGTCAAGTGACAGTTACTTGCTAACCAACCAGACTACCTGTATTAGTTGTTAGTAAAGACCGTTATTCCCACATTTTACCAGTTCCACCTCTGCTCAAGCAACAACCTGCAGATTGTTTCCCCTTGGATGTCTGTTATTGTCACCCCCTGCTGCAGGCTTGTTAATTTTGGTAAGACAAACTCAGAGCCATTAAAACTAAGACATTGCATAAACTGTCAGATAAAAAAATGAGATCAGTTGTGTTTTGGTTTGGTTTCACACAGCTGCAATGCCAAAATTTGTGACATAACAAACACAACATAGGCATTATGTAACCACACTGCAGCCTCCACAGGCAAATCTGACAGTGATTAAAAGTGGTGTCAACATCATTAGGGAGTGTTCTGAGCTGTTCTAGAGGACAAGCTGTGATGGTATGCCTTGCTGGATTTTAACAGTGAAAATATTCATGGGTGACAAAGTCGTATTTTGTCCCAAAGTTCTCTAAAGAGGAGGAAAAACATGGAGGACAGTGCAAAACATGTTTTGCTTAGACAGCTGCTGTTTGGTTACTTTCTTTGGTTCTGGGTTGACGACATTAGCTCTAGAACTAATCTGAACTAATGACATGTGGTTTATTAGTATGTGTCTTAGTCCACTGAGTGGGGGTTGCCGTTTGAAGACAGTTGAGCAAGGACCTCAGTGAGCCATATTTTCACCATGCCACATGTCTGAATGTACAAAGTGTTTCCGTGCACAGCACAGTTTCCTGCCTTGTGTCATGGGTTGCATTGCTGTCCATTTTGGTGATCACTGAGCTAATTAGGAGTCCAGTGTTACTGATGAGACAGTTTTCTAAATGGTCTAGTTTTTCATTAAATGGCTGGGTAAAACTTTGTATGGGGTGGCTTGTGATAATTTGGGCAACCTTTTGTACCTCTTGGTTGGGTTAACTCAAAATTTATTCCAAAAAATTGCCCCCTTCTTTGACTTCTGTGACAACTGGGAGACACTGGTTGTGTTGGTGGGAGTCAAATCCTACACCACTGTAGGGGTCTGTTCCACTTTTTCATTTTTCTATGATTGTGCAAAAGTCACATTAAAAGCAGTGAGATGGTTACAACTTTGTTTGGGACCCTGGTGGAGATCTTGTTTACATCCATGTTAGATCCTTGCATAGATCTATTTCAACAGCTGCTCTTTCCACCTGCATCGTCTTGTTGCCCAGAATGCAATAGAAAAAAAATAAATATCTATTGTTGGGGTGCTTTGACCTCTGACTGTTGTTTTTTTTTGTGGATTCTGGATAGAGTAGGGACTCTATCAGCAGTCCAACCCCTAAACTACTAAGGTAGGTAGTTTAAGGGTTGGAATCTTTTTGGTTTTTCACCCATTGAGTGTCTGTGAACAAACCTTAACCCTAAACAAATGTTTACTTAACTTGATTCTAAATGTTTTGAGGATTAGGAGATCTTAAATGTAATTGCTTTGTGTGTAGTAATTTTTGAAATCTCTGCTTTTCTTCTAAGGGAACATCATTGGCTCTGGAATATTCATCTCTCCTAAAGGAGTATTGGAGCATGCAGGCTCAGTGGGGCTGTCACTTATCGTCTGGGTTTGTGGAGGAGGGATCTGTGCCCTTGGGTCCCTGTGTTATGCTGAACTGGGTGTCACCATCCCCAAGTCTGGAGGAGACTATTCATATGTAACAGAAATCTTTGGAGGGCTAGTGGGGTAAGCACTATTTTCTTTGCCACATATTTGGCTTTGAGAAGTTTGATATTGAATGTGTTGCATTTCCAGCACTTAAACTCGCTTAGTATGGATTCTGCTACAACAGTGCTAGTGTCTACCCAGGAGGGCTGGCGTAATGGCACTGCCTGTCCAGTCAGCTCTGAAGGTCTTGTGGGATTCCATCTGGGCATGTGACATGTCTGCTGATCACTGAACTGTCAGTGTCCTGCAGTAAGCATGCTTGTGGAGGTACTGTGGTTCAGTGGGGCTTTGTAAAATGTAGGGCTGGACCAAGTATCTGAATATTCAGATATTAGTTCGTTGGATAGGTAACTGGTTTTCAATTTTAGCAACTGAATATTTGCCTCTCCTTGGCAATGCCACCGCCACACAGCTCCTAAAATCTTGTCCATTTTCTATACCGCTTAGTCCCAAGCGCGGTCACAGGAGCCAATCCCAGCCAGCTGTGGGCGAGAGGCAGGTACACCCTGGACAGGTCGCCAGTCCATCGCAGGGCTAACACACAGATGAACAACCACACACACAATCACTCCTACAGGCAATTTAGAGAGGCCAGTCAACCTAAGCTGCGTGTCTTTGGACTGCGGGAGGAAGCCGAAGCACCCGGAGAAAACCCATGCAAGCACGGGGAGAACATGCAAACTCCGCCCGGGGTCAGCTGGGGCTCGAACCCAGAACCTTCTCACTGGGAGGCAACAGCGCTAACCACCGTGTTTGCAAAGCTCGGTGTGTAAATCATTCAGGTAGCAGCTTCTGCTGATCGCTTCTGTTTCTGATTAACATGACAACCAGCGGGGTCATACCAGCTGTCTCTAACCTCAACTCCGTGACTTAAATTGATGACAGGACAAAATGAAAGTGGCTGCTGTCAGGTCTGTGAACTTGCGGCAGCCGGTGGAGAAACAGACAACATGCTGTCTGTCGTTAGCCGAAGATTGAGGTAAAGAGGCGTCACTCTAACACCACTGAATAATCAGTGAACTGAGTGCTTCTCTGTCATTCTAAAGCCAAAGTGAGACGACTTCACATCAGTTGATCTTACAGCAATAATGGAAATGTAGCACAGTCTGTGTGCACGAAAATGGCTATGAAGATCTGCCATCTGTTCACCTTTTACATTAAATATTACAAAACTTTCATTAGCTTTTTTTAACTGAAGGCACTACCAGATGGGCAAAGAGGTACTTCTAGCTGCAGCACAGTGTCGGCCCATCGCCCCACAAACTCTGCATGAGCATACGGTACACCTGTAAAAACCACTGTCAAATGTAACATTTCTGTTCCATAATAAATTCCCTCCCTTCTTTGTAGTTGTTCGGCCCTCAATTAGTATATTACAGTATCGGCAAGATCTGATCTTTAAAACACCATTAACTATGACCAGCAATAGGTAGCACCAAAGAAAAACCGTAACTTGTTTTCCCACCTGCTGTATAGTACGCTTTTCACTGCCTTCCAGTGTCTGAGCAGCATTTTCTTATAACTGATGTTTAGATGTCCTTGAGTGATTCTCCCAGTCCAGACTGCTGCAGTGAACTGGTACAGAAACCAGCAGCAGGAAACTGGTTGTACTGGCAACTTTGAAATTGTGGATGTGAAGCCACGATGGAGCAGCAAACGGGGAGGACTTCTTCGCTATTAGAATACCAGTTAACATGTGATAGCTTGTTGCAACAACTTCACTTTTTTGTAATTGAATGTTCTTGAACATATAAACGCAAACTTGTCTCCCACCCTGTGTGTGGGTGTCATAGTAAAGAAGATGATGACGAAGAGCACAGTGAAAGAGTCCCTAATCCTTCACTGATGAGGCTTTCACTAAGCTTATGTTGTCCATCTAGAGCTCAACTGTTTCAGGAGAAGATTCATTTATCCCAGTGACCGAGAGCTACCGAAACAATTTCAAAGTGTGTTCTGCCATGACCGGACCATCAAACTGTGTGCAAGAATCCAGGATTGAACAGTAATGTTTTTGGCTGCTGACAGTCCTACTAGCCATATCTTAAGAGTCCCTTTGGAGAGTAAAAGCTCAAGAGTCATTAAGCAACCTCGCGGTTTAAACTTCTGCTTTAAAAGGTAATGTAAAGGACTATACTGTCATGTATGAAGCCCAGAGTGTCTCCTTGTTTCTGTTCTGTAGCTTCCTGTTGTTGTGGAGTGCTGTCCTCATCATGTATCCGACTACACTGGCTGTTATCGCGCTCACCTTCTCAAATTACGTCTTGCAGCCGGCCTTCCAGAGCTGCATTCCTCCGTTCATCGCCACCAGACTCCTCTCCACCATCTGTATCTGTGAGTCACACACAGACAAAAATCTTCTGAAAATCCTTTGTCCAAATGAGTTTGTCATAATTCACAAGTTATTTTGTTTAGTCAGAGTATCATAAACTTCTAAGCTTTGTTTCTCAGACTTTATTTTTTGACATATCATGATGTAACGGATGTTTGGGGAAGAAAAGCAGAATTTTGACCAGCTATTGCTGACGAGTGTCTGCCAGTGACTCTTACCCAAGTGACATGTTGAATTGCCGGTCAGGTCGGCTCAAAGTCTACATAAATGGATGAGCTGATGGATGTGGTGGTAGTCTTTCTGTAGGAAGCAGGTAAGACTCATTTCAAAGGACTGATGCTATAATCTGCTGTTGACATCTTGCTGTTGCTCTGGTCTCCGCCTCTGTCATCACACTGCAGATTTTCTGTTGCTTTACACATTCAGGTCACGTGACTGTCTGACCCAGAGTGACTCTAGTGAGGTAAACATTAGAGCAAACAAACTTTCTTAGACCAACACAAGTAACTGATCTTGAGGTCAATGTTAAAAGGATCAGAACACACTTAACACTTTAATGAAATACTGATGAATCACAAGTGCTTGGGGAAACAAATGAGACATGAGCAAAAGCAAGTGTAGTCCCTGTCTAGACAAATCTAAGGAGGGGGGGGGAAAGAAATTTAGATGTCTTCCCACCTGTTAGCTGTTTGGTGTGAATGCCTAACATAAATCAATGTAAAGCAAGTCAGACTCTCTTACTTTTCGTTTCATGGCCTGAACATATTATGGTCCTGTGATGGCTCACGGGACGCTGATGACTGTCATTGCCATTTGATGATTCCTTATTAAACACTGCCCTATTTCCAGCCTTTGATCTAATCAGCACCATTCATGTTGAGTACACATGTATTTAAATAGCCAGTGGTGAAAGCACACCTCCACTATTTTTGGCAACAGAATGTTACAACTGCTGCCTAGTTAGGCCAGGAGCCCCCCCCCCCTCTCTG